GAATCGTGAGAGGAAATACTCGAATCCTGACCTAGGATATCCTACGTCTTTATCATGGACATTTCAGTCCCAAAGAAAGCCCACACAATGAAGAAAATTTTTTTTTTTTGTTTTCTTCTTTAAATTTTTTTCATTATGGTAAGCCTATTTTATAGACATTTTCTTTACTGTTTTAATTGTATAGACGTTCGTATTATTTTTAATTTTACTGTATAGACGAGTTTTTTATTATTTGATTTTATGTGTACATGTGTTTTGATTTTTTTTTTATTGTATATACTGTTTCTTATTATTTTATTTTATGCTATAGATTTTCTATTTTTTTTTTATTTCATTTTATGGACTTTTTTGTTATTTTTTTTTATTAATAAAAAAAATAAGCAAAACATCTTTAGAATAAAATAAAATAGTAAAATAAATGTCTATTCAATAAAATAAAAACAAATATTTAAAAAAAGTGTATAAATTAATCATTGCATAGAAGTTTTTCTTATTATTTCTTTTTATTGTATTGACATTTTTCCTGTTATTTTATTTTATGGTATAAAAATTTTATTATTTTATTTTGTTTTATTCTATAGACGCTTTATTAAGTTTTTTTTTATTTCATTTGATAGACTTTTTTCTTATCATTTTTTTATTGATAAAAAAAAATAACCAGAAAAAAGTTGATAAAATGAAGTAAAAAAACAATTAATAAAACATCTATCGAATAAAACTAAATAAAATAATTAATAGAAAGAAAAATATTCGTGATAATACATGCGTTCATCAATTCAATACGAAAACATTAACCAATTTCAGACATTAGGAAACCTGACGATATTGAATATTAAACACCAAGTTCACTTAATTTTCCGATCGTCTCTCTATTCCAATATTATATTAAAAAAAAAACATTAATTCACGATTTTCGCCATAAAAACTAACTGGAATCAAACGAATAACCCATGTTATCGAAAGAGTATGTCAAGAACTATCCGAAACCCTCATTTCTTTTATTACAACCATATTAGATATTAGTCAAAACAGGTTTTACCAAAATTTCTAACATCCATACATAGTAACAAAGCATCAATTACCGATTCTCTCTACAAAGACAAATTGGAATCGGACGAACGATGTGTGGAATCGATAGAGCTCATTCAGATCTATCTGAATCCGTCATTGGTTCTCTTGGAATCGGGTCTTCGGTGAAGATACATAGGTTTTCCTAAAAATTACTACGCTTTATATCGGAACGCTGCACTAATTAGCTATTTTCTCCACAAAGACTAATTGGAATCGAACGGAAGAGGTGCGGAATCGATAGAGCTCATTCAGATCTATCTGAATCCGTCATTGGTTCTCTTGGAATCGGGTCTTCGGTGAAGATATATAGGTTTTCCTAAAAATTAGTACGCCTATATATCTGAACGAGGCAGTAATTCGCTATTTTCCCCACAAAGACTAATTGGAATCCAACCAATGATGTGTGGAATCCATTGAGTTCATCGAGATCTATCTCAATCCATCATTGATTCCATGGAAATCGGGTGTTGGGTGAAGCTGTTTAGGTTTTCCTAGTGCTTCCTACTTTGTATACCGGAACGAGGCACTAATTAGCGATTTTCTGCATAAAGACTAATTGGAATCGGACGAATGAGGTGCGGAATCGATAGAGCTCATCAAGATCTATCTGAATCCGTCATTGGTTCCATTGGAATCGGGTGTTGGGTGAAAATATTTAGGTTTTTCTAGTACTTCCTACCCTATATATCGGAACGAGGCACTAATTAGCGATTTTCTCCATAAAGACTAATTGGAATCGAACGAATGAGGTACGGAATCGATAGAGCTCATCAGGATGTATCTGAATCCGTGATTGGTTTCATTGGAATCGGAGTCTATGGGCTTTTTTATTTCAAACTGAATTCTAAAATCAAAAAAACCACACCAATTTCTTCCGAATCAAACTTTTCTCGCTTGATACTACGTAGTCTCACTAAAAACCCTTAGTCCCCCCTAGTCCTGCAAAGTCCCCCTTAGTCCCCCCCGCAAAAAGCTTAGTCCCCCCTTAGTCCCTTTTCAGGGGACTAAAGCCTATAGTACAGAAAACCACAAGCACAGCCTCACCCTCACTCACGCGCCCACACCCGCACCATGGGTGTGGGTGTGTGTGTGGGTCCCAGACCCACACCCTCAGTCACCCCCCCCCTCACTCCTAGACTCACGTTTCAGTTTGAAATCAAGTATTATTTTTAGTTGATAAATTCAGACTGAAATTAAATAGCCCATTGTATGTGGAATCGGGCCTTCGGTGAAGATATTTAGGTTTTTCTAGTACTTCCTACCCTATATATCGGAACGAGGCACTAATTAGCGATTTTCTCGATAAAGACTAATTGGAATCCGATCAATGATGTGTGGAATCGATAGAGCTCATCGAGATCTATCGGAGTGCATCATTTGTTCCCTGGGAATCGGGTGTTGGGTGAAAATATTTAGGTTTTTCTAGTACTTCCTACCCTATATATCGGAACGAGGCACTAATTAGCTATTTTCTCGACGAAGACTAATTGGAATCGGATCAATGATGTGTGAAATCGATAGAGCTCATCAGGATGTATCTGAATCCATTATTGGGTTTATTGGAGTCGGCCTCTAGGCGAGTGCATTCAGCTTTTATGAAAAACCACCATTAAGTGAGTTTTCGTGTCCATTGGAAAAAACCAGTAATTTTGGATTTTCTCCATGGAGACTAATTGGAATCGGATCAACCCGGTGTGGAATGGATCGAGCTCGTCGAGATCTACTTGGAACCAGTGTTAGTTTTGCTGGAATCGGTCTCTGGACGAATCGTAATGAGATTTTCCGAAGAAAAGCTCTGTTCGGGGGCCTGTTGGCTGATTTCTCATAGATAGATGCATCGATTTAAGCTGGAAAGATATTCATTCGATAGAGCTTGTCGAGATCTACTTGGAACCAGTGATGGTTCTGTTGGAATCGGTCACTGGGCGAATCGCGAGAGGTTTTCCGGAAAAAAACGTTGTTTTGGGGCCTTGTAGGCCGATTTCTCAGTGATCGGTGCATCGCTTTGAGCTGAAAAGGTATCCATTCGATAGAGCTCATCGAGATGTACTTGGAACCAGCGTTAGTTTTGTTGGAATCGGTCTCTGAGCGAATCGTGACTGGTTTTGGTGACGTTGTGTTGGTTTTTCTTCTTTTTTTTGCGGAAAAAGCGGGTTTTGACCAGGAAGGATTGTTTGTTTTCGGAAAAAAACTAGTGTGTTGGATAGAGCTCATCGAGTTGTACTTGGAACCAGTGGGATCTCAGTTGGAATCGGGCGTGTCGCGAATCGTGAGGGGAAATACTCGAATCCTGACCTAGGATATCCTACGTGAACACATTCCGTGTTTGTAATGAATTATCAACATTTTCTCACAATATAATAATTTAGAATATATCGTTCTTTAAAATAAATAAATAAGATTGAGTTTC